TAGGAGTCTCACGGTCTCTCCTGCCCGGGCTGGCTTTGAACCGCTATCCTCAGATCTCAGCCTCCTGAGTAGCTAGGATTACAGGTGTGAGCCACCGGCGCCCGGCCAATTATAGTTTTTTGGGCTGGGAATGTGGCTTAGTGAAAGAGTGCTTGCCTACCATGCATGAAGCCCTGGGTTCGGTTTTGCAGTCCCACATAAACAGAAAAAGCTGGAAGTAGCTCTGTGGCTAAAGTGGTAGAGTGCTAGCCTTGAACAAAAGAAGCTCAGGGACAGTGCCCAGGCTCTCAATTTTGGCCCAGGACTGGCCAAAAAAAAATAATCTTCCCTGTCTGTCTTACCCTGCCGCCGCCCTCGCCGCCCCTCTCCCGCCAAAGGACAACAGTTTTACTAGCCTTTTGTCCTATTTTCTAGGTGTCTCATACGGAGGACATCTGATATACTTTCTAAATATCTGCCTGTGAAGATTGAACAAGTGGTTTGTTGCAGGTACAGAGCTCAACTGAAGGGTGTGTAGTAAGTAGATAGAAATTCAGTCCCTGAAGCATGGCTGTATTTTAAGACATTCTTGGTGAAAAAAGAAGTATGGTCCAGCTTGCCCATTGACCCAGCTGCCTTTTATTTTCAGACTGACACCCCTTCAAGCTGAGTTATACAAGAGATTCTTGAGACAAGCTAAGCCAGCAGAAGAACTGCATGAGGGCAAGATGAGCGTATCTTCACTTTCTTCCATTACCTCATTAAAGAAGCTTTGTAATCGTGAGTTGGACCCATATCCTAGTGTCCTCCATGAGCAAGGGAGGGTAGGGTTCTCTGGGTAGTCCAGTGACCTTCATTTGAATGTGGCCAGAGATTCATGAAGGCCACATGTGATTCCAACTCTCACCAAGGCATGAGCCCTGCATTTACACTGTAAATTAGACACCTTGCTTTGGGAAATTTATCTTGTCCTCTGCTTGGCCTGTGCCTGATGTTTAAAACATACAGTACTGTGAATGTAATTCCTTGCATTGCTCACCTGCTTATATTGTTAGGTAGACAAGAATATAATAAACGTTGACTCTGTTATAGCTCCCTTGCTGGGTAAAATTGGAGCAAGAGTGTCCATTCATGCTCCCAGAAGGACTTGACTGCATTCTTTTGGAACTCAGGAGGGAGGAAACCCAGTGAGTCTGGTGCTGAGGAAGGCTTTCTGAGCTAGGCATCTAAAGATGGTTCTAGTGAGCATTGAAATGTTAACTTCAGAAAGCAAAACTAGTGTTTGTTTTTCCAGATCCAGCTCTCATCTATGACAAGTGTGTGGCAGAGGAAGATGGCTTTGAGGGTGCATTAGACATCTTCCCCCCTGGTTATAGCTCTAAGGCTCTAGAGCCACAGCTGTCAGGTGAGTCCTTTCACCAGTATTAGGGATCCTCTAAAGGAACACTGAGAAAAAGGTATGGAATTACTTTGTGCTGAAGCTACCCTATATCAAGGCAATCTGCTAGGTTCTTTTTTTTTTTTGGTGGTCCTGGGGCCCGAACTCTGGGCCTGGGCACTGTCCCTTAGCTCTTCAGCTAGTGCTGTACCACTTGAGCCACAGTGCCACTTCTGGCTTTTTCTGCTTATGTGGTGCTGAGGAATCGAACCCAGGGCCTCATGCATGCAAGGCAAGCACTCT